GATAAGAATAAAGTGCAGATATGCTGTTCTGAATGGACGTCGGGAACGGGATATTGTTAGACCGCCCGCTCCCGTTCAAATTACACCAGAGTTACCGACCGCTACCGCTTTTTATTCTGGAATTTAATCCTGCGGCCTCTACTCCAGGGCCACATCTGTGTGTTCCAGATTCTAGGACCCTTTGCTGCTCCAGGAGATCAGCATCCTCCAGCGCTTCATGTTCAAGGCTTCTCTAATCTTTTTTAATAAAATGTATTTTATTACACTTGTATCTTCCTTGTGTTGATAATACAGAAAGAGGTTCTACAAGTTAGAGATCCCACCAATCATTCTTATGTGATGTACTCATAACCACACCTTAATTGACGCGTGATCCAAATATCATAACGTCATTGGTGACGCGAGTACCCATCACTACACTATTTTGCCTCCCCAGGTTGGCGAAAGCAAAATTCACTACACACATAGACAATTTCTTTATTTAGGACATGATTAAGCTGCTATAAATGTATATGCATGTGTTGTATGTATGTTCCCCTAGTATATTAGCCCAGTTACAACTCTGTATTGGTATTCGTTAAACTCTAAATGTTTATGTCCCAGTGTATGAATGTATCTCTGAATGTATCTTCTAGCCATTTCTTTCTGGGTATCGAAACGATCTGCTCTTTATTGCCTAAACAATGGTGTACACTATGTGATGATGAAACGCATCATACTGTTTTTTTTATCATACTTTGTGTAAAACTGTACCAATTCTCCAGACCAGCAATAAACATGCAAATGGGCCATAAATTGAGACAAAGAATTTCTCCCGCTCAAAATTCATGCCTTGTTTTGGCCATGGCACCAAAGATGGGTGTGACTGGAAGAGGATTAAAAGTCCCTAACCCAAACCAATCATTGCTCAAATCTCTTGAGACAGACCCTCTACAAGACTCACACCTTTTGAGTCTGACCTTCCAGCAGTTTTATCTTCAAGTAACTTTGTCGGTTCGCTGTGGACTCTCCGTTCTTCAGAGGAACCCGACGAAAGCTTCCAGCTCACTCCTAACAAACTCATCAAGAACCTCCGTGTCTACCGCATCCGGACTCATTCTCAGCAAAGCCAATGCAAGTAACCGTTTCCAACTATTTAGATGCGCGTCTAAGTTTGGGCCCCTTTTTAATGTGATTTTGATTCTCTGATGACGCTCATTGGGTTGTGGTTAATTGATGTTGAACAAGCGATTGTCTGTGTGTGTTGCTCACAATTTGAAGTCCCTGAAGGTTGATCTTGCTACATGCCAAGTTACTGCTAGTACTGTATAAAGTAGGAAAGCTTTTCTTTCTTGGCCAGGAAGATAATCTTTCCTAGAATTGATAAATGATTATACTGTCTCGGTGTACGAACAGTTTAAATAATTGTAATATTGATTCTACTACAGTTAATTCTGAGATCTAATCTAAAATTTATAATTAATTATAACTAGTTATAATTAATCAAATATTTCCCCTTTTGAGCTAAATTGATACAATGGCCAATCAGAAGCGTTTAAGTTAGAATCCACTCAATGCTCAAAACACCAGAGTTTTTCTCCAGGGCTGAGTACTGCACACTCGCAAATCTTCTTATTATAACAAAAGTGCAGACACAATGTAAAAAAAGAGATTAATTGTGCAGTGAATAGGGCTGAAACGATTAGTCGACATTATCAACGTCGACAACAAAAAAAAAATTGTCGACAAATATTTTTGTTGTCGTGTATTCGTTTGATCTCATATGACCTAATCTAAGACCCTGCGATAATGCGGTTTGAGCAGTGTGGCGCTGTAGCGCAATATTGTAATTCACTGTCCTGATGTAAAAAACTCTCCTGATGCAGTTCAAGAGAAGACAGCGCTTCAGAGCAAACAGAGCAGAACCGAACCTGAAGATGCTGAGGGACATTTGGATGATTATGTGAACATAATAGCTGCGCGCTTTCCTCTCAATAACAAAATTAACATCAAAAACTGACAGCGGTGTGAAAGCAGCAGTTAAAAACGCATCTGATTACAGCGATGTGGATGTTTGCACGAGCTCTGCAGTTCAGTACTCCAGTAAAGTACAGTCACATCACGTTTATTTATATAGTACTTCATGCAACAGATAGTCTTAAATCAAGCAGCTTTACAGTATTAATGAAAAACCAGAGTCAGTGTCGCTTTCAGTTAGAATTACAACTTAATTTTCTTGAATTTGGTCTCGTACTCTATCGCATACCTTGTCAGTGTTGTGTGCTTGCTTAGACCTTTGTTGTGATAAACAGTAAAGCGTGTTCAAGCGCTAGCAAGAGAGTGTAAAGAAATACTCTTTGAGAGAAGCAGTCAATCAGCGGAAGTTAAAAGCAGATCGTAAGTGTATTTATTTCTTGTCTCATTAGTGTTTAGCGCAGTTGTCGTTGCTAGGAAACGCTTGTTTGTTTACTGTGTTGAGACGTGCTGAAGTTGCGTTTGGTCTCGTACTCTTTCGCATACCTTGTCAGTGTCGTGCGCTTGCTTAGACCTTTGTTGTGATAAACAGTAAAGTGTGTTCAAGCTCTAGCAAAAGACAGTGTAAAGAAATACGCTTTGAGAGAAGCAGTCAATCAGCGGAAGTTAAAATCAGATCTTAAGTGTATTTATTTCTTGTCTCAGTGTTTAGCGCAGTTGTCGTTGCTAGGAAACGCTTGTTTGTTTACTGTGTTGAGACGTGCTGAAGTTGCGTTTGGTCTCGTACTCTTTCGCATACCTTGTCAGTGTCGTGCGCTTGCTTAGACCTTTGTTGTGATAAACAGTAAAGTGTGTTCAGCTTAATTAAATTTCCGTTTTGTCCGATGGGTATTAAAAAGGTTAGTATGCCCTCCTGTTAAGCCCTCCTCATGTGAAGACCGAAGAGTGTAAAGACCATCGAGACTCTACCGTGCAGGGACACCGGCAAGGGATATAAGTATCGCTTTTGATTAGGGCTGCACGATAAATCGCATGCGATATTTAATGCGCATCTTGTCAGTAAAGTCGGTTCTGTTATCAGCGGTAAATCTCCATCACGTGCGTGCTTTCACATTGAGCAGCATTAACTACACAGAGGAAACTCTGGAGTTATGATTGATGATCAGCTTACTTTCTCAGACCACATTGCTAAAACCATTCGGTCCTGCAGATTTGCTTTATTCAACATCAAGAAGATCAGGCCCTTTCTTTCGGAACATGCTTCACAACTACTTGTTCAAGCTCTTGTTCTGTCCAGGCTGGACTATTGCAATGCTCTCTTCGCAGCCAGTTCTATCAAACCTTTACAAATAATCCAGAACGCGGCAAGATGAATTTTTAATGAGCCAAAAAGAATGCACGTCACACCTTTTTATCAATTTGCACTGGCTACCAATAGCTGCTCGCATAAAATTCAAGGAATAAATAAAAATAACACTTGCTTTCTAATCTTTTTGTATTATATCTGTTTTCTTTTCATCTATTATACAATTAGCAAAAGCAAAAAAGACCTCTAACACTAGCTTGCTCTATTCTTTTTCTATTCTATCCGTTTTCTTTTTATTTATTATATGATCAAAAAAAAAACCTTGCTATGTGTACTGCATTATAGCTAATGATAAAATATTTTTATTAGTGGGGGGAAAAAATAATTTCATTAAAGTGAGTTTGGTTTGCAGAGATCAAAACTTGATCTAGCTCAGGACTGTTTTGATTATCATAACCCTATAAGGTATTTTAAGAGAGATTATGTTGTGAATAAAATAGTTTATCCAAAAATAAAACGTCTTATCACTTACCTTTATTTTGTTTCTTATCCATATGACTTACAAAAGGAGATGTCAGGCAGAATGATGTCATTCAGTGACTTTTTAATATCGCTAACTAAATTGTGAATGAGAGAGTTTCTCTGTCTGTCATCTCATTTTGTGCAAAATATATTTATTTGTATAAATTAATTGTATAATAATTGTAATTACATAAAATGATTTTCAAAAGCTGAAGTGATTACCTTTATTTATTCGTTAGAATATGTATAACTCAATACTTTAACTAATTGCAAAAGCTGAATAATCAAAGTCTACTGATTAATCATGGAAATAATCGATGACTAGTCGATTAATCGTACTAATAACTGTTAGATTAATCGATCATCAAAATAATCGTTTGTTGCAGCCGTAGCAGTGAAGAGAGCTACATTTGTTATAATGGAGTGCTCTTTGCACACTTTCTGGACTATAAATGATCTAATCAGAACTTGTAGAAACCTTTTGTTTTTCATGCTGCTAAACAGACCAATAGGCACGTACATGCAGCAAAGTTGCTGGAAGGATGTCCGCATATAAATAAATACAGGATTAACTCGTGAAATCGCAATGGTTTACATAGTGATAACCATAGCAATAGTCAAAACAAAATTTGTGTCCAAACAGATGTACATGAAGGCTAGAGCACACTCACTAATTACAGAAGCACCCTCAGTAATTTGATTCTGGCACCGGGCCATTGTTGACAGGGTGCTAGTTATCATAAAATATTATAAGTATAACCATCTTAAATTTAGTGTGATGACTGAGCGAGTTTTTCAGTCGGTTTAAACATTTTACTATCACTCGTATTATTGATTTTTAAAAGCCATTGAGTGTAAGCAAAAACATGTATTAAAAAAAAAAAAAAAATGGACCAATCATGCCAAATCTGCCATAACTGTAGCCAATGAGGATATGTAACAGTCGCTTGATAAGCTGTGAGACTAGTCAAATTGCCCCCTCTAGTGGATGAATAAAGTTTGTGCAGTAACAGTTACACCAGTAGGTGATGGCAAGGGACTGTCTTTATCAGCGAGTCATCATTAAACCGTTCAATCAACTTGTCACCTGGGTAATGCTGATGTTGATGTTTCACTTTATAGAAATCAATGGCGTTGATTCAGTGCATTTAACAGGGCTGACACCAGTTGATTTTGACCAGTTGACACCAGATTTTGCTTGATTCAGACACCAGCTGACATTTAAACTTTGAAATGCTTTCATCTAACAAATTGCAAACTGTTTTTCCCCTTGAATATATGACTTGACCTGAAGAAGGACAGTCGCATGTAATCACACAAGCTCAGTTCCCCATTACTGTGTGTGTGTGTGTGTGTGTGTGTGTGGAGGAGCTGCCCGAGCTCCTCCTCAGACATGGAGAGCAGATGAGAGATGACGATTGGCAAAATTTTGGTGTCACCAAAACTTATCAGGGCCATTGACCATATATCATGCAGGTTAAAAACCTCAGTTTTAATTGAACGTAAACAGTTCAGAAAGAAATCGGATGTCTATCATTATATTGGATCCATGTATTGTGTCTTAAAGTGACAGCAGTGTAAGGGTGAATTCCAAACGGCTTTTTTGCACCCTTGAAGTGCACTTCGGGAATCGGACGCCATTTGTAGGGACGTTCCAAACGAAAGTGAACAACCAAATCCCTTCACGAAGGGCCCTTCCAGAAGTCCGTTAGCGAAGGGAACATGCGATGGTCACTTCACGGAAGTGATTTCCGTTTGTGATCATGTGATCTTCGATTAGGAGATCTTGCGATGCTTTTTAACACTTCATACAACAAAAACAATCCATGCATCGTCCATCATTATGCCATTTCTACGTCATTGCACATGCGCAGTACTTTCCAGTTTCGGTTTTCAATCCAATCAAGTGTTTACATGTCCTCTCGATTGGATTAGAAAAGGTCTACACCACCCCTTCTAATCCAGTCAACATTTCATTTGATTATTTCATTTGATTATTGGGTTGCATGTAAACGTAGCTAGTAAAGACTATGTATTGTTATTTTACATTTGATTATACACTTTCCGTACCTGAACACCTACAAACCTGAAAAACTTCAAGCATCGTGTCATTTGTATCTTTGCTCTATTTATTCATTTGTACTACTGTTTGTAATTTATTTGTTCTGATTTTACTACTAAATGTTCACTTGTCTTTAATAATATTTCAACTTTACATTTGTTTGCTAGTAGTTTTTGCTATGGTATCAAAATTGGAATAAAGAACTGTAAACTTTAACTGGTATCTAAAATTTTGGTGTCATATATGCTTATTTATTACAATATATGATAACATGGGTCAAAACAACAAAAACAGTGGGCCTCATTCATGAAACATTCGTAAATATAATATTATAAAATATTATTATATTTATTATATATAATATAATAAAATTTACATCAGAACGACTTTCCGAACGATTTACAAAAAAATTTGTTCTGCTCGTGTTTCATGAATGAGGCCTAGTAACTATTTCACTTTTTATGGCTGGGCCAATAAATATTTTGGCAGGACAAGTAAAAACTTGAAGCACTGGCCTGAACAGGCCCGTAGATCATTATCATATGAGCAAGGCGATATGATGTATCTCAAAACATATTTCTGTCCAAACTGCAATTGCAAATTACTTCAAAAATGTTGTAAAGCTTTTGGGAAAACAGCTCACCTCCTCTGTCTTGCGACGGAGTACACTGGCCTGTTTCTGGAAGTCTCTCTCCAGTTTTAGCATCTCATACTGACGTTTACGATCCTGAAATATGCCCAAACACACTTAATTTCCTACAAAATCGTATTAATATATAAATATGAAAAAAAAAGAAAACAAATGATCATAGACTCCATCTGTAATTTTAACAAGAGAAAAAGATTGATTAAGATTAAGACTGACACTCACTTTCTCTTTGAGCTGCAGAACTTCTTTATCTTTTTTTTGCTTCCACAAACGAAACTTCTCAGAGTCTTCTTTCATCTGTCTCATGAGCTGCACCCGCTGGGACTTCATAGCCTGCACAGATCAACCAACACACCATATGAATACAACTCAGTCTTTCCACAAATTATCCATTTATTTGCAATTTTTTTTAGCTGCTATCACTTAACCACATAAAAGGATCCAGCTAAAACAACATTAAATGGGTCCTATTATGCTTTTTCACTTTTTGAATTTTAGTCAGTGTGTAGTGTGTATGTTTGGTCATAAAAAAGAAAATTGCTGACAGTAAAATACTGGACAATGATGTAATCTGCAGAATTTACACTTCAATTATGAGACTACAGTGCTTCCCATAAATTGAGTGTGGGTGTTTTTATATCACTGTATTTCTGAAGGAAACCAACTGTCTTCAGAAAATTGGATGTCATTTTCATTTAATCTTGCATGTAATGTCTGATAAAGCAGTGTTTTTTTTAGCGGAGCGCTGCTTTGTGTACAGCCTTTATCGGGGAAACCTTGATCTCTACCACTCCAACAGCGCCTCCTGCTGGCAGAGAATGAGTTTGCATATATATGCCGTCTGGGAAACACTGGACTATGGTATAAATAAATTCAACTGTATAAGAGTTTCACAACAATTCATGCAACCCTCTACATTGCGAGTAAATCACTCGCATATGCGACTAAATCTTACTCTGGGCGACTAAATTATGTCTAATATTAGCCAATGGCTAATCAATTCTCAGATTTTACTCGCCAGTGTGTGAGTTGGAGGCTGAGTATATGATTAGCACAGATATATTTTCACTCACAGAACACTCTGATTGAGCGCTTCAGAGTTTCACTCTCCGTCAAGCGATCTGATATTTTTCAGTTCATCTCAATGGATGCGCAGCGCACCTG